CAGCAATCGAACAAAGACAGATGCCTCTGGTTAGACAAGGACAGACATAGATATATAACATAGAAAACAGGATTAGAAATGTTGACATTACCGACGTCGAGGAAGTTCGGCCTTCGCTATAGGATCCCCTTAAGGGGATGCTGGAGTGAAGGCCAAACTTCCTCGATGTCGATAATGTCGAACATTTTTAATTCTGTTCTAATTCGTTTTCTATCATTTTCTATATTACCGGCTTATATCTGCCCTTGTCTAACGAGAGGCATCTGTTCTTATTTCGATTGCTGCGCCATCTCTCACTACACGCAATACTACTCCGCACGCATACATACATATGAGATTTTCAACGACAATTTTCTCTTATACTAAAGCTTCTAAGCTTATTTCTGAAAACACAACATTATTCTTTTTTGCAATTCCAATGGTGTTGTATGCTTATTTTATATGTACAAAGTCTAAATTTTTATGTGCAGCAAATGTTGTCACGTCATACATATAATTTTTTTATTTTTTTTCATTTTTGATGTAAAATCAACGCTAGCACCCTCCGTTTTTATACGTACTTTAATTCTGTAAAAAAGTTTTTTCAATTTCGTAAAGCCAATTCAAAGTTAAGTGTCAGCAAAAAATGTAATTGCTACTACTCCAGCATCCCCTTAAGCAAAGACATAATATGATTTAACTAATTAGTTAGTTTACCAACAAGTTGGAAAAACCGGCTTTAAAAATTGTTAAAAATCGCCCAGATACATGGCCATTGGCCGCGAATATATTTTGGCAACGCACGTTATGCAAGTTACATTGGCTGGATTCGAGAAGCGCGCTATTAGCGCTATTTGCTTATTCTATCCTTGTTTTACACCTGATGAGCGATAAAAGATAGAACGATGATGCAATAGCGCTAAGGGCCAGTTCCACAAACGTCGGTTAACTCTTAACCTCAGGTTAACTTATCCTTTGTTTCTTTCTAACGTCCCCCTTAGAAAGAGACGAAGAGTAAGTTAACCTAAGGTTAAGAGTTAACCGACATTTGTGGAACTGGCCCTAATAGCGCGCTCCCCGAACGCAGCCATTATCATTATCGCATTTAATGTATGTACGATCCCTCTTTCCAATGTCGAGAAGAACGCGACTGTCATCGAGTGACGATAACGCGATGCAACGTACCGACCACGATATAATCGTGGACATCATGGTACCGACTGGCGTCGTGAGTCGTGAGTCGTGAGCGAAAACAAAATATGTCGTACTCGAGCGAGCTGTCACGCTCTCAGGAATATCTGAGCTTTCGCAGCTCCGTACCGCTTAGGAAAATCGTTGTCGACGCCGACGGCACTAAGGTACTGTTTCCTATCATTATCGGTTTCTAATCGTTCGATCTCTAGCTCTTTCCCGCCTTTCCTCTTTTTATCACCTTTTACCATCGATTTATGCCAAGTGGCGGATGGCCTCATCTGTCTGATAAGTATTTATAAGCATAGAAGTAAACAAAAGAACATCTTGACATATTTCTGCAATTGTTTTAGGGATGGAAGGTGTACGATTCTAATCCAAAAACTATCAAGTGCCCACTCATATGTCTTCCACCCGTCTGTGGTACAGCTGATATTTTTTTTAGGCAAATATTGGGTCTGGCTGCCAAAGGTTACAGAGTTATCTCTGTAAGTTAGATATATGTAGATTCGATGAGCATTCCGAAACATTTGAACATATATGTAAAATAGTATAGATTTAATTCAAATCGTGTTAATATAACCGGTAAATGAGAACTTAATTTTCACAGGCTGAGGCGCCGGTATATTGGAGTATAAAGGAATGGTGCGACGGATTCAGAAAACTGTTAGATTACCTGGAACTTGACAAAGTCCATCTTTTTGGCGCTTCCCTAGGTCAGAACACGTCAGCAAGATATTTACTTTTGAATGACAATCTAATAAAAGAAATTAAAAATTTTATATATTTGCAGGTGGCTTTCTGGCACAGAAATTTACAGAGATAAATGCACACTGTCCCAGAGTGGTATCTCTGGTTTTGTGCAATACTTTTACAGACACGTCTGTATTTAGTTACAATGATTCCGCAGCAGTGTAAGTAGAGCATTTTAAACCGTAACTTTTAATATGAGGCTGATACACGCATGAATCTATGTGCGACAAAACTTGGAATTTGCTGCTTCATTACATTTTTGTATTTTCTTTATGTTCACAGCTTTTGGATTTTACCTTCGTTGGTACTGAAGAAAATGGTAATGGGAAATTTTGCAACGGAGCAAGTTGACGGAGAGATTATAGAGGCAATTGATTTTATGGTAGAACGGGTATGTGTCTTAGTTTTCTATAACGAATTTAATTGGATGCACTAGTGCGCGCTGACTTAATCTCTAAAGTAAAATGCAGATATCTCGACTGATAAAAAATGCCTAATATATATTTTATCAAATAGCACAATAAAGAACATTAAGGATTTCATGATTTTATCAGTTTATATTAAACATACACTTTACGTTGATTTGTGTACGACAGCTTTAATATGCACCAGTGCGCACTAGTGCGTCCAACCGAATTCGCTATTAGTTTACTTCAAACTGATGAAAGAAGGCAGAAAGGAAGAAAATGCTTATTCTACAAAATGTTATATGCACGCATATACTTTAATTATAGCTGGAAAGTTTAACGCAACCCGAATTAGCGTCCCGTTTAACAATGAATTGCATAAATTGTTATGTACAACCTCAGAAAATATGCCATTTACCTGTGACAATAATAGATGTTTTCGACGAATATGCGTTATCAAATGCAGTTAGAGAAGAAATGTATAAATGTTATCCAAATGCAAAACTAGCGCACTTGAAAAGCGGTGGAAATTTTCCATATTTAAGTCGATCCGCCGAAGTTAATTTACATTTGCAGGTAAATTAATAACGTATAATTATGATAAAATCAATTGTCGATGACATGAAATATCAAAGCATTTGTTTTCAGATTCACTTAAGACAGTTTGAAGGTACGGAGTATACGGCTTTAGAGAAGATTAAGATTTAGCGTAATGTATTTAGGAAAAATACTTTACGTTAGGAAAAATGTAATAAAATCCAGAAACTGTATATAAATGTTGATTAAACAGAGATTCTCCTTTGTTCATGTATGGATATTAAGACATATACCGATATTAAGACAACCTATACGCTTTTTGTATTAAGTCAAACGTATTACTTCTTAATACGATTCTCAGTGAAAGAATATTTGTTATGTAATTCATAAGTACTTTAGGCTATAATTATATGATACTATTAAGAATTATAAATATTGTTACTTAATTTGTTACCTACTATTTCGGTTTTTAAATATAAAATGCATTTATATTTTGTGACAGTTTGATCTTCTTTTAGTTGTAAAAAGAAAAGTCTTATAAATTACACCACAAGTAACTAAAACTCTTTAATAATTTATAATACGTCGCTATTGATATTGATAGAAATAAGAAATATACTTTTCTAATTCTTTTAGTATATATAGGTTTTATACAAAATATTTTTAATTACATCTCTATGAATTTAATAATAAAATATTCTCAAAAATTATATTTTTTGTATCATTTCGTACTGAAATTTAATATATATTTTCGGAAAATTTGATGTATAATCTGTTATTTTTATACTTTGGATTGCTACTTCTGTTTATTATGGTGTGCGAAGTTAGAAGTAACCATAGTTTGCTAGGTCGCCTGACCGGGAGACCGTATAAGAACTTGCTTTGGTATCGATTCCTTCGAGTCTGCCTCTCTCGCGTTTCTCTTTTGCAATCTCAGATTACAGGGCCTGTTTTACCCAGTATACGTATGACATCATCGTCCATGTCAGTTGCTTTTGAATTTTTCTTTCCCCATTTCTTTGTAATAAAATTTTAAATGGCCGCAATTACACATTTAAAAGTTTTTGCTGTATGAAAGATTTTATTGCTTCCTCATAGAGGAAGCTTTATTTTTGTGAAAAAAATTTTATTTTAGTTGCCGCTGCCAATGTGTTCAGAATGTTCTAAAACGTTGAAAAATTGCATTTTAAAAAATGTCCGTATGTCCGTGTGTGTGTGTGTGTGTGTGTGTGCGCGCGCGCGTGCGTGCGTGTGTGTGTGTGCGTGTGCGTGTGCGTGTGCGTGTGCGCGCGCGCGCGCGCGTGTGTGTGTGTGTGTGTATGTGTGGATTTGATGGCTGTGGTTGCTCTAACTTCCGCAAATATTGAGATATCGAGCTTAATTTTTTTTTAATCGATAGAATTATCATTTAAGGAAGGTTGATATTGAATTTAGCGATAATCGGTAAAAGGCTTCTTTCTTTTTATAAAATTTTGGCAATGCCCGTGGTTGCTCTAACTTTTGTAAATTTTGAAATATTGGGCTATTTCTAATTTTATTATATTCTTCAGTCTTTTCTACCCCTATTTCATATATATTTTATTAACATCTATTATTGCTCGGAATATCGGCCGTAATATTACTTGTGCTACTAAGCTGACTCTTTTTTAATTCATAAAAAGATTAAATTTAAAATTAAAAAAAGGGGCAAATTAAAAACTTGCACATTGCTTCCTCATCATTACAGATCGCTACCATTGCTCCTATTTTATTTTGCTCATAAAGCTTTTTCTATGAGAAAGCCAAACTAATAAATACTAATAATTATGCATCAAATAAAATACAAGCTTCCTTTTCATTCAATTTTGCAGTTTCATTAAAATATTCTCGCTAATGCCAAAAAGAATTCGCATGTTAAATATCGTTAATTCAGATTCGTATAAACGTGACAAACGTCATTTGAGCTTACGTGCGAAAAATTGGAAAAGGGTGTTCATTAAAATAATTAATGATGGTTTTGACTTGTGCGACGCGCAAGTAGGTATCGACACATTGATAAGATTACGGTTATCACTGGCTCTACTGCGTGTTATACCATAATCCGTCTGATAGTTTGACGTTATCTTTTGTAAAGAACGACGTGCATAATGTACGTTTCAGAGCTCAGTCTGCTCAGTTTCTCACCTGCACGTGACGGGAACAGACAGCCGGTGTCCGATATCGCGATATTCGCCGTCATATGTGGCGATAGCGTTAATTTTAATTATTTTTATGGCACGTTTAAAAGATCGATATCATTTGGACAGATACGTCACGCAAATTTCAATCCTATCATTTCTTCGACAATATTCACGAAATTTCTCTTCAGTCATGAAATAGAGCACGTGTTAACGCAAGCATTCGGTGGTATATCGTTCGAGTATTCGTGCTATTTTATATATTATTTAATTTTGTTAAATTTAAGAAAAGATACAAGATTGTGTCACGTTCATACAAAAATCAATCGCCATTCAATTTTCGTGCTATAAAACACAAGTTCTTTTTTACGGATTTACATGTGTATGTGTATGTGCAAGTTTATTTTTTTAAATATCTAACAGTTTGTTCAAAATCTTTTTTAGCTATGTTAGCTTTAATGAAATATAATTTGGTTTGGACTATTGAATCTAAATAATCGGATTATCGCAATAAGGTGTTACGTTATTATCAATGATCTATACCTAATCCCTCGCGTGATGAAATGTTGATGACGTACGTGTTTTTAGACTTATTTATAATTTATTGCAATCATCACGTAACTGTTTCAACAAGAAACTATCCTAAAGGAAAATAGCTTGAAGCAAAATTCAATCAAGTGAAAGGAACGCTGACCACAGGTTTGCTTCAGAAAGAAATAACATCGTCACAAACATTTTATCTTTGTTATTGTACATTGTAAATCGTAAATAATTTATGCTATTTAAACAATAATAATAAGTAAAACAGAATTGATATATAATATTATCTATATATAATCAATATGATATATATAATCAATTATAGAAAAAAATTCTTTTTATAAACCCTGGCTGAGGTGATATTTTTTACAGTAACTTTTTTACAATGATTTAATAAAGATACTTATGAGCATCAAAATTTAAATTGATTATCGATTTAAGTATGTGAATTTTCTGCTTTAACAAAGATCTGTGTTTTAAAAACTGACAAAAAATCGGCGCACAGTTCATTGAGTTGGAAAAAGTATATAAAATTTACACAATATCTTTAGGCGTTTAACTTTCAAATTCCTATTCCTAATATTCATGCAATCAAAAAAAAGTTTCTTCTTCCTGCATTTTACAAAACCTCAGTAATTGATTATATTATTCGTTCGTATATCCTTGTTAAAGTTGCATTTCCTGCGGATGTGCATAAGAGTGCGGAATTTTTGCAGAACACTATCGTAATGGATTCACCAGAATTGTGAAAGTTTTTACCCGATATCTCGAGAAAGACGCTCGTTAAAAAATGGATAACGAGCAAAGGCCTCTCGTGGACGTCGGGAGAATAGCAACGTCCACAAAACTCGCTTACGCGCTTGGACACATTTTCAACGATTTAGCGGCTGCTATGTGGTTCTCCTACACTTTAATCTACCTCCAACGAGTTGCACTGTTAAAACCTATCGTCGCCGGTGCGCTTTTACTCTTAGGTATGCGTCAATTTACTCACGCATGGACGATGCTACGTTAGTCACGCTATTGATTAATGATCGAACGATTTTCATTCAAGGACAAATCGTCGACGCCGTTATGACACCTGTATTCGGTTTCCTGGTCGATCGCTATTGCAAGAAGAAAATTTGGCACGTCGTCGGTTCCGTCATGGTTACTCTGTCCTTCCCTGTAATATTCGGCGGTTTTGTCAATTCATCTACCACGATCGCCATGCTCCTATATGTAACGAGCATTACGATATTTCAAACGGGTTGGGCGGCCGTACAAATCTCCCATCTGTCAATGATTCCCTCGTTAACTAATTCCGTCCTAGCTCGAGCCGACTTGACCGCAATAAGGTATGCGATTTGCGTAATATCTCTTGAAAACGTGAGACTCTTTAGGAAGCAGCTGACAAAAAAACGGTACGAAAGTGTCAATTTAGTTCAAAGGCCGGGCTAAGACTATTAAATAAAAGGGATAGTAAAGAATAAATAATTATTTCTAGAATAGTAGGTGCGAAGATTAGACGGGATATACGGCTCAAAATTGAAGGTAAAAATTCCGGAAGTCGCAACTTCAATGCAGGCTTATTGTAATTCTATATCTTTTTTGTTGTCCACTGCACTGTGAAAAGTATTTTTGCATAAACCACAACTTTAATTCAGAAATTGCACGTAAATTGTATTCAATAAGTCTGCATTAAAGTTGTGACTTCCGGAATTGGGAATAAATTGACACTTTTGTACCGTTCCCTTGTGAGTAGCGAGGTCCAAAACATTATTTCAAGACAAACTTAATCGTAGATATTCCGCTCAAGTCGGCGCAGCTGTAATAGCTTTTGTCGTAACATGGATCATTCTACCAACTGATGGCGAATCGATGGTTCAATTGGATCAGCAGGATGACTATAAATTTAGAGTACGTATGAGAAAAAAAGCTCTCAGATAGTACAGCTAATCGTTATGAGCTCAAAAAGGACCTTTTCAAATTTTTTGTGGATTTGCGTAATTTGTTTAAAAAAAAAAGAATTCCTTTTTGATATTTCAAAAAGACCGTAAGCGTTAGTAACACGCGCTGAAGCGGCTATCATGCGCCAGTACTTTCTCGTAAGTAAAAACTCGCTAGGATAAAAGGTGAGACACTTGACCTTAATCGCTGCGGATCAGTTTAAATGATACCTCCAGTATCACATAGTGCAGAGATGACAAAATGGACCAGTACATTTTATGTTCTTTCTGATACAAAAATTGTTTTTGGATAAATCATATGAAGGATTTTTTTTTATTTTTCTTCAAATACAAAAGGAATTATTTTTTCTAGTCCATAAGAAATCGCAATAAATTCGAAATAGTGTTTAGATAAAGCTTCATTGGCTTATCTATAATTGTAAGCATAACTTCGAATTTATTACGAATTATTATAGAGTGGAAAAAAAATTCTTTTTGTATTTGAAGAAGGACCTCAAAATTGGTGACAAAAAAATAAATTTCTTTTAAATTTTTAAAGCAGAAATAATATGAAAAAAGAATTCGATCATTTCATAATTCGGGAATTAAAACAAAATTTTTTTTCAATTCTGTTTGCTATCTGAGATGATTAAAAAAAAAAGAAAGATGTGCATGTGATTCTGATTTGCAGAACATCGCTCTGATCCTCACAACTTTCGGCTTGATCGCAACCGTCTTCTTTCACATTTTCCTGAAAGCGAATCTCTTGGAACAACCAAAATCCTCAAAATCAAACGTCGAAGAGCCGGCCAAACTGTCGGACGTTTCATTGAATCGCCGGATATCGTGGGCCGGCATCACGATTTTATTAAGGGTCGCGATGTTATACGTGGCGAGCAGATTATTTATCACTCTCGCTACGGTATATTTACCGCTATATATAGAAGAAACCAAAGTTGATGGTAAGCAAGCGTTGGCCAGTGTGCCGTTGGTTTCGTACGTATCCTCATTTATAGCCGCCTTGCTGCTCAAATACATCAACAGGATTTGCGGTACCAAGGTATAATATCTCAATAATAAGAAACCTAGCAAAGACCAAGTAACATGCAACTTACATACATGCAAGAGAAAATTTCCTACTTAACAATGTAAATACAATATAACAAATGTGTTGAGTAGGAAATTCTAACTTGCATATAAGTTGTATGTTATTTTTGGTGTTTGTTGGGAAAGGAAGAAGAGAGAGAGGCAAGAATGCTAGGTGTATTTTTGTTTCGTTGGATCGTAGGCTTGCTACTTTCTCGGCGCTATAATTGGTATAGCCGCCGCCGCCGTCACGGAATTCGTCGGGAGTAACACGACGATCGTATACGTCATCGCCGTGTTAATTGGCGCGGGAAGTTCCATCACGATGGTCACCGCATTGAGCGTCACCGCCGAATTGATTGGCTCTCGAACGGAACGTAGCGCATTCGTGTACTCGATCGTGACTTTCCTCGATAAAATCATCACTGGTCTCGTGGTGATATTCATCGAAAAATGGTGAGTACAATAACCGTCAAATAATCATGCAAATTTTATTTGATAAATTGCAGTCGCGATATATTGATTTAAAAATTGTCGTAAATAAACCTAACTTACTGTAAGAAATTTTTACTTTACGATTCGTAAATTAACCACGTAGCTTAGTTACTTAACTGTCTTTAAAAAAACCTGTTTTCGTCTTTTTTAGGAGATGCAACGACAAGGAACTTTGTCCTACATATAATCGAGACACATTGTCCATCGTTTGTGCTTCCTCAATGATATTGGGACTTGTAACTTTGCTATCTGTATCGCGTTGTCTAACTTGAAAAATTAATAAGTTAATATTTTTTTTATATTACGTGTCATTTGTAAACCATATATAACTTATTTTTTCAACACTGCTGGCGAACAATAAAAATTTTTCATATTGTATTCCTAATATTATTATTATTGCATTGTTTTTTATATTCTAATTATAGTGAGTTTACTTAGGATTTGTGATCGTCATTTGATCGATTATATTCGCAAAATACATTCGAAAAACGTGAGAGAAGGAGGGAGCATATTAGACATAAATTGTTTTCTTAGGAAGTTTTATTTAATTTTCTTTTATTTTTGGTATTTTATAGAAATTATTAAACTATTTCCGGGCGTTGAAATGTAACAGAATTGCAGATGTGTAAAGTATTATCCATTGGAAAATATTCTTGGATATGGTTCAGTATATATGAATATAGGAGGCGCTAGTAGATAGAGCCCACATAAAATGCGGGCATAGTGGAATATATAAGGCGCTGGAAGCAAGGAATACAATTTCTGGATTCCAGACCATTCAGGTATAGAAGGTAACAAAAGGGCGGATGTTGCAGCAAAAAATGACAATTTGAATGGGAATTGATTTCCAAATAACGGTTTCTTTTAAGGGGATGCTGGAGCCGTAGCCGAACTCGATCGGCGTCGGTAAAGAAGACCGGCGAACTATATCTGTCCTTGTATAGACAAAGATATAGACAAGGATAGCACGCTACATTGCACGCACACATACGCACGATGCACACCGACATTATACTTTTATATTACGCTTCCAAATCTTGATTTGGGGGGTTTATCGATGTTTTTCTTGTTGTGCAATTCGGGGAAACTTGTTTTCGCGTTCGTACCAATGGTATATCTCTTATATGAAATACATCTTGTGACGAGCTGACAGCTCGCCGCAACTCGAGACGCCATATTGGGATAAGAGTAGGATAAGGAAATCTGTACTTTCGTAATTTTTTCTCGTTTTCTATATAAAATTGGAGTTTCCCCGAATCATTAATGTATGTACTGCAATTCTGGAGAAGGATTTTTAATTCTGTCAAATTAATACGACGCTACGTGCCGACAAAAAATGCCGGTAAAACAGACGGCTCCAGCATCCCCTTAAGAAGGTCAACAACTATTGGAAGGAGGAATTTCACGCCGATTTTGCACAGTGGTTCTCCGGTTCAGATATATATAGGGTCCCTTTATTTTAATCCTAGAACACCACACTTCCAAAAAGTCCCGATTCCACCACACTGGGTGCACGATACCCAGTGTACTTTCAATTATCAATAACTTTTCGAAAAGTTGATATTTTTAAACATGTTTTTTTTTTTAATTTAAACGCCAGAATGATAGAAACGCGCCTGTGTTATTATAATTACGATTAACATTTAAAGACAAAAGTTAATTTTGGAAAAAGCCCGAGTAAAAATTTCCTGATTCACAAAAAAGCGCTTTTTGCTTTCAAAAATTACTTTTTTTAACGTCGTATTTTATAAAAAGATTATAGTTATTTGTTGAATATAAAGGATATAACTTTTCAGAAAGAAATAAAAAATAATGATTTGTTTAAAAAATGTTTTGACGTGACAAAGGTTGATTATGATAGCAATTAATGGCGTGCCATACATCTACTAAATGGCGAATGAGGCTGGCGCAGCATGAGGAGTCGTAGAGGGGGAACAAGAGTTTATTTACCTGGTAAGGTAAAATTGATGGTTAATTGATTCGCATAATCTGAGTAAGAGGGCTGTTTACTCAATATAGATTGAGTAGTGATTGAGTAGTTTTCTTCATCTCTTAAGAGCAGTCTTTTTAGGATTTTTAGATTTGACATTGTGAATTCTCCGGACTGTTTACTTTGCCTAATGGAGGAGACTATGGATGTCTTTAGCCAGAGTATGCTCCAAATTCTCTGATCAAAGAAATATCTTGATTCGAGAGGCATCCTCCGGTGAAAAAATTTCTTATATTTTCTCAGAAATGTCCTAAGAATTTTTCATATTTTACATTTATGAAAAATTCTGAAAAAATATGTCAAATTTCTTAAATACTTTCAGAAACAATTAGATGAGAATTTGCCGAATATTTCAGTATCTGTATGTATGAAAATTTCTGATAAATTGCGCAGATTTTCTCATATTTATTCAGATTTCTACAAAAATGTGTTGGCGGGAAAAATCTAAAATATTTATTACTATTTTATCTGAGTTTATCTAAAAAATGTTCCAATTCGTATAAAAAATCTGAGAAAATGTTAAAGATTTTCCGAGACATTTTTCCGCCAGGACCGTGAAATTGAAAGGATTCCTCTCTCACCCCTTCGAATACCTACTGTGGGTACATTAGATTGTAAGACCCTTTCTTACATAAGTAATTTCCTAAACAGAATAGAGTTATTTATTTGACACTTTTGCGGACGGTTGAATTTGGAGTTTAGTTTTTGTTTTAGTTCTTAAACTTTAGGTTTAGTTTTATTTTCTAGTTTAAGTCCTTTTTAAATCGTTTTAATTTTAATTTTCGTCTTCTAGTGACTAGTTTAAACTTCTAATTAAACTAAATCTTAAGTTTTAGTTTAAACCTTAAGTGTTAGTTTAAGGGGGATAGTAAAGTTTAAAATTTCAAAAAATTCGATTTTTTGTTTTTTACATATTCTGGTAGTGGTGATCCTTTAAAAATATTTCCCAGTTTAGTTTTTTGAAAAATTCGCAAAATTGAGCTCAGGGAAGTTAAAAATGTGAGTGCTGGCCGGCAAAGAGTCCGCGTGCAGGTTCGCCTTGTGCTACACTTTTTCCTCTAAAATCTGTGATGTTCTGTAATTACTGCTGCAATGGAAGCTGACCTGAAAACGTCATTTTATAACGCGGATAACTTTTGAGCTTCGTACGTATCAATTTTCTAGCTAAAACTAGTACTCTAAACTTTAACCGTGTTTTTCTCGAAATGACATTTTTCGCCAGTTTTGCCACGATAACTCACGAACGGCTGCAGATATTGACTTAATTTTTTTTTTAAATAAAGATAACGAATTTTTTCGTAAACTGAACCTATTTTAGCGCAAATTAATTTTTTGTAACTGTTTTAACAACAAATAACTTAAATTTTTGAAATTTTTTTTTTGGCTGCCATTGTTGTAATCTTGACAGACTTTTTTAAACTTTAGGCTGAGTCTATAGAGAGGGATCTCACCAACAAAATGGCACCAAAAAAAATTGAAAATTCCAGTTTGTTTACCAGGAATCGTAGTAAGAACAGAGCAGTGCGCAAATCGTGCGGTCGCCTTCAATCATCAATATCACTCTTAATTATTATTTATATTCTTGGGACTTTTACGTTTCGTTTAGTTCGTTAAGAAAGCACTAATAATGCTTCAAGAGAAAATTTATGTATGTTTATTTGTATGTCCACAAACGACATTTAAATTTTACCCAATTTTCAGCTGTTTAAACCTTATAAGGAAATTCCTTTAAACCTTATATGAAAATTCCCCTTAAGAGATTACATACTTTTGATCTTGTAGAATCTTTTGAAAATATCTCTTTGATTTATGGTTTAGTTTTTTTATAAATAAAAGGAAACCGATTTTTATAGTAAAAAATCGCATTTTTGTTACGAATTGTTACGAATTGCTATTTTCCGAAAAATCAATATTTTCAAAATTGGCAATGACAAGCACTAGTTTTATTCATCTATAGTTTAAGGTGGTTTGGTTACCGTATAAGTCAATATAAAGCCTAAATTTTTCTTATTAAAAAAAAAAAAAAAAAAAATTATGCATGTATTCTATTGAGACACTTTTATAATTACTGGTTTTATAATGTAACTTTTCATTCGATTATGTATCAATTTATCTACTGATAAATGTAAACAGTTCAAGATTTGACTTTATAATTCGTACAAGAGAAATGTCACGACATTGCATTTCTTCGCTGTAGGCAGTTATTATGCCTGTGCCATGTGTTTGAGTGATGTTATGTACTGTGTTGAAAAAAATTAATTAATTATAATTGCATAGTAATAATTTCTCTTGATTGTGCCCATGCAATACTGTAATATCAATTTCTTAATTTTTGAGTTTATCCTGTTTAAATATAACACTTGAGAGAGAGAGAGAGAGAGAGAGAGAGAGAGAGAGAGAGAGAG